ATTATCTTGGGTTGAGTATGATTCCCGAATATTGTTCGAACAGTGATCATACCTTCTACTTTCTTTTATTTATATATTTGTTTGTAGTTGTTTTTGTTGTTGTTGTTGTTGTTGTTGTTTGTTTGTTTTTTTCCCTTGTCCCTCTTTTTACGTCTTTCTTATCTTTAAAAACTTTAAGAATTTGTGCTTCATCAATGTTATAATACGACTTACGGGGATGTTTTCTTCCCAAGCTACCCCACACATCTAATTGCCTCTACACCTCAAGACAACAACTAAAACAGACATGCAGCTATTACCGAATGGCATCATACAGAAGAGTTAACGCTCAGATACTACTGGATCGATAGCAGCAACACCGATATAAATACGACTTTAGATTAACCAGACCAAATAAATAATTACTATTTTAGGTGCAAGAGTGTTTTAAAAATCTGGAGACGCGAGAAAAACGTCACTAGAAGATGGAATGACGTCACAAAATGGACGCCTTATAGAATTTAGTATTTGTGAAGCAATAACAAGTGAGCATCAAGTTCACCGATGGCTTTAGAGATAATGCATCTCCCAGATTCAAGGCTCTCAGATTTTGAGTTTAATTGTCGATATCAACCAAGAACAGGCTGCTGTACTCAATATATCTAACTGCCGACAACCAAAATATAGATTTAGAGATCTAAATCTAGACTAAGTAGATCAATTCTTAGTCTACAAATAAAAAGAAAAATGATAAATGAATCAAGGGTCTGTATTACAGTATTACAAACAGTGCTTATAGATCTATATACAGAATCTATATATAGATCTAGATCTAGATTCTAGATCTATTCTAAAATATTATTATAAGTATTTTGCTCTAAAAACCAAAAAGTTACGACTGAAGGATAAATATGCAACGTAAAAGCCTATATAACAATAGTAATAATAGGAATATCCAAACTAGTGTAAAGATCATTCAAATTATATCATCTCATTCGATTGAGGAGATGTGCACGCATTAGGGTCTCCTTGTGAAGAATATCTCAACAGAACACCAGTCTTCTTAAAGGAGTATATATGTGAGAGAAAAAAACAAAACAACTTTAGGCCAAAACTTCCAAAACATAACTACTGATCACATCACCATCAAGACAGCGTCTGTATTCGATATAGATTTCTACAAACAAGACATATTGGGAGACTTTTCATTGCGAGCATGAGTCGGCCAGTCATCGACCCCCCTCCCACAACACGACCTCCGGAATTGTCCGCACCCCTTCCAGCCCCAGCCAACCCCTCGGACACACCAGCAGGGGAGACGGCTATCGGCGGAGGTGACCACTGTCCATCTGCAAGCCCAGGATACGTCACGGTCCAAGCCCCAGCCTCCCTCCACCACCAGGTCAAGCCTCAGAACTATGACCATGGCTTCGACAAGCGCGGGAAAATTGTGGGATGTAACCAGGAGGTTCCGTACCCGTTCAAGAACAGGCACTACCATGACGTCAGTTTCCCGCGGCTGGTGGACTGGTCCAGTATGAAGGCGGGGGATGAGCACAAATATGTGCCGGCGAGGGAGATGGTTTGTTTGTTTGTTTGTTTGTTTGTTTGTTTGTTTGTTTGTTTGTTTGTTTGTCTGTTTGATAGGGTTATTTAGTAGTGTTTGTTTGTTTGATAGGGTTATTTAGTAGTTTGTTTGTTTGCGTGATAGATATTTTATTTGTATAATGGGTAGTTTGTTTGCTTGTTAGTTTGATAAGGTTATTTAGTACTTAGTCTGTTTGTATGTTTGTTTTTGTGTGTCTGTCTGTCTGTCTGTCTGTTTGTCTGGTTTAAGAAATTATGTATGTATTTCATATTTATGTGTGTATGTATGTTTGCTGTTGTAAAACAAATTGCCCTTCTGTGATCAATAAAAATGTAATTGATTCTTTTATTATTTATTTATTCATTGCAAGACGTTACGACAAAATGGCGTATCTGACTCACCGAACTCTTTCCACCAGGTCAAGAGGTCAGAGGTCGCCGAGTATTTCACAGCGGACAACGACGAGGGCTACAACCAATGGGTGGCTCGCAAGGCAGCGGAAAAGAAGCGAGGGGCGGAGCTACAGAAAGCACTGAGGAGTGTGCCCGCGGAGATCAAGGCGTTACCCGGTCATTTAGGCCCCACTGCAACGGAGACGAGCGCTGGGGTGATTGGCCAGTATCTAGACCTCCAGCCCCTCCCACCGGCAGTTTATCCCCTCCCAGCCAAGCTACCGCCTGCCCCTGTGCCCCTATTGGTCAGATTTCGGAAGTCGAACATGTCGGACCACCCAGCAATTCCCGACCACGCCTTCGCCGTCGACCCGCGGAAGATGATGACGAGTGACGGGTGCTGCTACACCAGAGGTATGGAAGGCTCCGCCCACTACCCAGAGACGTCGAGCATAGAGCCGCAAAGAACGAACAGCTTCAAGCTATCAGTGACGTCTCTCGGTCAGACGGTGGGCGAGCGGAGAAAGGGCTTCACGTGGCCGCTTTTTACGCCTACGGGACTCGAACTCAATCGCCCCATGCCCAACCGCTGCGTGTCTGTTCTGGCCAAGTCGACGGAGAAAGAACCCGTCCGGCTTACCGTCCCATCACGAACTGTCCCCCACGTGTACAAAAGATACATGAACTACTCGGCTTGCCCCGGCGTGGACAAAGAGGCGGAGCTTAACCCGGCTCGTCGACCAATCAAATTTCTCTGCGCACCTTACACCCCCTACCCACCGCAGGGTAACCGCCTCCTCGACCCCTGCCACCAGGACTTTGTCAGCATGTCTGTCCTTCCACTCCCCGTGGGCCTACAGAAACCGTCGACATGTTAACCCTATCCAAACGCCCTGGGGTCAATTTTGTACCCCCGGAGTTGTATTCTTCACATCTTAGAATTCTTCTAGTACTAAGATCTCTTTGAAACCTTCAGTATATCTCAAAATATCATTTTGACAGACTGCTATGCAAAGCGTGCGGATCGGATTAACGAGCAAATTTCCTCTTAGGAAAGTGGCGGCACACAGTTCCCCCACGTCGTTAAGATACGATAGTAAAACACGACGTACGGATAGGGTTAACAGTGATGTCATACTGAACAAAAGAAAACAACAACAACCAAACAACGCCATTCACAATCTGTTCCATTTTTCTGCATTGACGACGTAATGGGTAATAATGAATGAGAACTATTTTATTTTTATACTTCCTGCCCTTAAAAGAGCATTCATAAGTACTCCGATTTTTTTTAAAAATGAAGAGTGCAACTTATGAAAAGAAAGTGACACATTGTCATACAATTATACATTCTGCATTAATGACATGAAGACTAATCATTATTGAGAATAATTTAATATACCCTTCAAGGAGTGCTCATTAATGCTTTACTTTTTTTTAAAAAAGTGAAACGTGTTATGATCTACATACTAAAAAAGTCAGTTAGAAACCCTTACTAATGGCTACTTAATATATGACTGCCTTTTAATGCCAATGTTATCTCTGGTGTAAACAAAACAAAACAAAACAAATCTGCATTGTTATCAGAGTCATTTACAAACACAACTGCATATTTTCCTCCTTTCTGATTTGAGTTTATTTCCTTTTGTTTTTCGTTTTCCCTCCCGTTTTGTTTTGTTTTGATGATGTTAATTTTGATCACTTGGAGTTGGGGGTGGGGGTTGTGTTGTTTTCGAAAAGGTGATTACTCTCTTTTAAGTGTTTGAAAGCATTCTCATGCCCTCTACTTTGCGTTTATGAGGAATGAGTATAGGAGCGTATTATGTCCTTGAAAGTTTGAATAACAGACTAAATATTTGTTAGAATTCAAATACTTGCAGTTGTATTATCTCGCAGACATTGGCTTGCTTAAGGTTGTGAGATGTTGGCGATTATATTTATTATTTATTATTAATATTATATCACGCTTCAAATGTTGGCTTTTTTAAATTCCAAAAACATTTGAACTTCAGGATTTCCAGGGGGGGGGGGTTTCTCTTGTGTCTTTTGTTTGTTGTTTTAGATTCTAAAAACTTATGAATTAAACTTTTTTTCCGATTTCTGCAATCATTATGTCGTTCCACGCTGGTGTTATTCTCGCCACGCAGCATTCACTCTTTCTTATTTATTAATCTCTATGTTATAATTCTATTTGTATAAGTTTCTTCACGCAAATGTTTATTTGCTGTTATCTAGTTCTCAAAATAGTCTCTTTTTATTATTATGTATTTATCCAAAATTCCCCGTCAACGAGAAAAAGAATAAAGTGATTTATACATGGAGTCACCTAGTTTTATCTGTTGTCTTGGTACGTTATCTCCTATTCCTCAGAATAAAAAAGTAGAATCTACCCTTATGCTACGCACCTACTACATCATGTACTTGAATGCCTACCTCAACGCTCTTTATTATTAGGTTCAATCTTCCCTCGTTCTCTCTCTGTCTCTCTCTGTCTCTCTGTCTCTGTCTCTCTCTCTCTCTCTCTCACACACACACACACACACACACACACACACACACACACACACAAACACACACACACACACACACACACACACATGCACACATACACTCTCTCTCTCTCTCTCTCTCTCTCTCTCTCTCTCTCTCTCTCTCTCTCCATCTCTCTCTGTGCGAGTGTTTGGAGTGGGAGGGCGTCACTGGAAGGTCTTACTTCTTTACTGTCTGTCTGTAGTTGTTTTTTTGTTATCGTAGTGTGGCACTAGCAAAGGTCACTAAGAAACTGAGAATATTCCCGTTCGAGGGTCTTTTTCTATACTTCAAGTACTGGGAGTAGGGGTGAGAGCTAATACGATTGTGCGGTTTACGGCGCTATTAACTGAAATTGATCAAGCAGATGACCTCCCCCACCCCCACGAAGCAGAAAACGAAGGAAGAAAAAAAAAAGAAAGGACATTTTATAGTCCAAGGGTATCAGTGTGGAAGGCTAAACAAATAGTAACGCTGCAGACCGATTCTAACTCCAAAACAGAAAATAACGAACGTTCAAATTCAAATTCAGACAATTATTTTTTGTTTTTTTGTTGTTGTTGTTGTTTTTTTTTGGGGGGGGGATATATCTCGATGGCAGCAGAATTTTTATTTGCCTTGGTCGCATACAGTGACAATGGTGTTACAAAGGTCCTATTCTGCACTCAACCATGCACACGACAAACGAGATCACATTGAGACAAATTAATGAACAGAATGATGGTAGTAACAGAAGAGAAAATAGACAAACACAACTCTAACGCAGAAGACGTTTCTTTTTTTTCTTCTTCGTACAATACTTACTAATAATAATAATAGAAAGCATTAGTGTAGTGCAAATTCTCACTCAACAGCAAGCTCTATGCGCTTTACAATCAATAATATTATTGCTACCTCAACAGGCCTGAGAGCATTTTGAAACAACCTCAACTTCCAGGGAAGCATACAGTGCAAACTGCCATTTTACGGGCGCTAAAGCACTGACATACTGATGAGTAAACGTTTTTGTCTTATTGTGAGATTATACGTGCTATCTTGTACTGGCTTCAATCTTTGCCTTCTCTCGGTTTTGATGTAATTTACGTGTACATTACTTTACTTTTAGTAAGTGTTTTACGGCACTCGCAACACAATAAGATCATATAAGTGCCGAAGATTAGAGGTGTTACAAGAGAGTAACAAACACAAAAAGAAGGAGGGAAGATAAAGACGGTAGATGTTTGATAGGAAAGAAGAAGCAAACCACGCCAGAGCTTTATAACAATAAGTTGGGAAACAGAAAATACGAACAATGAGGTGTGTCAGATTCTACACATAAGAAAAACCCTGCTGACTATAATAAAGTGTGGAAAAATACAATACTTTTGGCCACTATAACGACACGAGACCACTGGGAAAGAGGTGCTAGAAGGAAAGATGTGGGACAGGAGAGCCTGTGGAAGACAAAGAAAAACATGGATGGACAACATAATGACGTCATGTACTGGTCTGGATAATTATGGCAGAATGTGCAACGACAGCTCGAGACCATGAAGGATGGAAGGTCATTACACGTCAACCTTTGAGTCAGAGATGACACCTCCAGTGGACATGTACTTTGGAAGCACTGAATTCTAATCACGAGTTAGTGCAAAATTATGAACTGAAATTTTACGGAACACGGGCATCATAAACCATTATAATATTGGGCTCAAAGGAAAGGGTTTTTTTAAACGTAACATACTTAGCTGCGGGGCGGGTCAAAATTCCCAAAAGTGCGGAAAATGGGAGTTAATACAAGAACGCATACAGTTGCCTTATAAATATACAGATGGTTGTGGGGAGTATGTAAACAACAGCCACAAAACAAACCAAAAAGAAGAAAAAAAATCATTGTGGGCTCACAGAAGGCATCAGAATAGTTTATTTGGCATTTCATTTCTTACAAAGATGTCACATGTTTTAATACTGTTATAGGCGGAAGGAACCCTGAGGAAGAAATGCTAAGGGGAGAAAAGAATAATTATTATTAAAGCAGCATAATATTGGATTAATAAGTAATGTGCGTGGAGTATTAGAGGGTTGCTTTAATTTCTCAAAAACATTTTGATATGGGGGGGGAGGGGGTGGTGTGTGTATGGAAGGCCTTGCTTAGGCTTATATAAAAATAATAAACAACATTCATTTCGTCGTTCAAACGTTTGTATTTAGTGTGGGAAAGAAGAGCAGAAATCAGGGGGGAGGAGGGTGGTAAGGTAACACGGCAAGTAAGAATTGGCAGAAATAAAAACTTTCAAAATCATAAGATCACAGTTCGTAGGTTCCAGTCTGTCAAAGGCAATAATAGATATATAGACTGCATCTCTAGCCCTGGGGCTGAGGTATTGAGTAAATAGCTCAAGTCATGCTACAGACTTCAACATAAGTTAATGACCAATTGCAAACACTCTAGAGTGGTCTTCTTGGGTCGACCTGCTCGTGGGCGGTCCTGGACTGATCCAGTGGCCTGATGGCGCTACCTCAAACGGTCAATGACAGAGAGTGACACTGCAAGCCTTCTGGCACCTTCTCAGGCTCCAACCCCATCCTGCAGCAATGCCATAGCTCGGGCACGATTAAAGTCTCTCAGCTTTCGTCTTGGTGGCATGATGATGCGAAACTGGATTTTGCGCAAACGGCGGCTTAATTTATACTGCCATCACAGTGAGCACAGTTCGAGACCGTACGTCCGTTTATGGCGAGCACCAGAAATTTTAACTGAGGAATGTCCGTGGTGTCGCACACAAGTCAATAAAAAAAAACAGCAAATTTTGCTAAAATTCCCCGAGGATGTCTGTGCTGCGCATGATGGTTTTGCCACTTTAAGAAGCTTTGCAGTACGCATTGGTAACCCATTAACACTTTCAGAGCAAAATATTTAGAAACATTCCTAGCTGTCTTTTTCGAATTTTTTAAAAAGGCAGTCCTTAACTTATGTTGAAGTCTGTTCTTTGTACAAACCTTGGGCGAGACATAATAAATTATCAACCAACTGTTCAGATGAACCAAGTCCAAAATATATAATAGTTGTTGTTCGTAATTTATGGTATAGGCTGCATGTGCTCGAGAGTTGGGTTAATTTTTTCTTCAAATCGAAATGCATGCTCTAAATGTTTCTAAAAAATACCGAAAGAAAGAAAAGACACATAATGTATAATATGTGGATAACTGTTAAAAGAACGAAACAATAACGATAACTATTGTTATTTTACCTCTCTTGAAAAAAAATGTTGCTTTTTGGACTTTAAAGAGTTGAACAGTTTGCTGGCGATGCCATTGTAAGATTCCACAAGTGGTGTCTGTTTTCTATCATTCAGGCAAGGTTGATTAAACAGAAATAATTCGTTTGAGAGTGATTATCAGAAAGGTAATTTCTAAGACAGCCACCTTTAATTA